ATTCGACCAATACCACAATATGTGACTGCGTTCAATGGAAGGTTTGATCCCACGTAACCGCACCGGGGTAGTAATAATAACGATAACTTAAATGAAATCGACGTGTACACAACGAAGACGAAAAAACAAGAGAGAGAAAGAGCTGATGCTGGCGACATTCACCATGACAGCTACAGCCGTCTGACACCGTCTTGACGATAAAATGCCACCACACGAAAACGCAACTGAAAATCTATCGAACGTGTGAAATAACGGAAATTTCTACGTGTTGATAACAGTGCTATTAAATAAAAGTGATGATGAAAAACTTTTAATTTTGGAAAGAAAAATACTGCGAAAGATTTTTGAAACAGAAAAGGACATGCTAAGTGGTGAGTGGAGAATAAGAAAAAACGATGAATTAAAAACGTTCTTCCATAAACCCAGTATGCTCGAAACAATAAAGAACAAACGATTGCTATGGGCTGGGCATGTTTGGCGTAGCAAAAACCCACTCATACGCAAATGATACGCAGAAGAAAAGACCGCTGAGAAGACCACGACTGAGATGGGAAGATGCATTGGCGTAATTACAGGGGTGCATAGGAATTTAGCATCCCTAAGTTCAAATGTACGAGTAGCATTCCTATTTTTTTTTCAGATCTATATAATCTATAGTAATTACAGTTAAATACCATTTAATTAAATTTTTAGCAATTTCAGCACCTCCAATATTTGGGCTCTAGTTGCGCTCATGGGAGGACGTAGTGAAGAATGATATGAAAGCATTAGGAGGAGATGTAGACTGGAGGATACAGGTATCGGAGAGAGAAAATTGGAGGCAAGGATGTATGTCGGGATGGTCCTAGTGGCTGAGTTTACCGAAGAAAAAGAAGAAGATAACTGCGCCGATCGCGCAAGGGGTACATCGCCGCGGCCAACCAACGCTGCAGCAACACAACACGCCGCTGTGTATTGCAGGAAAATTTTATCAGAAAATTGCGGGAACGCAAAAATATTTGAAAATTGTTTGCTGCTCGAACACTATCGTAGATTTGTATGCCCTATTTTTTTTCTTCTCACGTGTACATTAAATATTTTTATTGAAAATATTAGATTGATGAATTTGAATTAAATAATTATCAATCACAGTCATCGATGTATTCGTTTGAACTCTCGCACTAGGAAGATAAAATTATGTATGAGTAAGTACACATCACAAATAATATGGTACGGTTATCATAATTTATTATATGCTCTACTAATCAGTAATTTTTTTTTAAATGGTGCATATTGAGCCTACCAACGAAGTCGAATTGATTGTAAATGTTAAATTATTAACCTTAGTTGAAATAACACATAGTCTTAAGTAGGGCTCAAACATTATTACACTAAAAATGTTATAAAATCGATTGCATTTTTGCTATGAAAAAAACCCAATATTGTGCTTGGAAATTGCAATAAAATATTTTTATTGATAGGTTTTAAACTAGTATATTATAAAAACAAAATCAAATTCTCATCATTAAAAATCTGGTAATTTATCTAGTCTTATTTTTTCAGGAATCTATAGATAATTTTATCGAAATTTAAAACTTTTTATTTAAACTATTTTTTTTTGTTTTTTTAAAAAAAAAGGTATTTAAACCTATTTATTTTTTTACCTTAAAAATTATTGCACTGTACTATAAACGACTTCCTCAGGTTCTTAAACTTGAAAGACTTTCGATTATAAGACAACAAATTCTTGTAGACGGAAAAACTGCGCTCGACGTCGACCGAGGTTATTGGTACATATTTAAAATAAACGAAGTCTTGAATGGATAATTTTTCTGGTAATCCATAATATTATATTATAGTTGTTTCGTCGATCAATATATTGGATATTTGTTGAATAAATTCAAAACCCATATTTTTTACCAGAACGTTTTTAAATTTTTCATTAATTATCTCGCCGATGTTTCCTGATACCATGGCTTGAAATCGATTTCAAATATCGATAAAAATCATTAAAAATTTATTAGAGTATCAAAATCGTTAATGGTTGGTAATGATTTTCAAAATTTATATTGAAATTGAAAAAAGTTAAAATCGATATTTTAAATCAAAATCAAAATAATTTTAATAATTAAAACGATTTTAAATCAAATTAATTTAAAATTCAACAGCCAACAGGTCTATTTATATTGTTAATTCGTTGACATTACTATATTTGGTAATAATATTGATTATACATAATATAAATAACTAGTACTTATTTTGTTTTCTTAGAATATTTAAGATAAATAATCAGCGTTCGATGACCGATTGTTGTTTTTATACACATGATTTATTCCGAATAATATAGACATTTTGTAGTGTATTATTATGGATAAGATATTAATTTATAATATTCCATTGGCTGTCACCCCTGAGTTATACTTTTAACCAATAATATACAATCAAAGAACCTAAAATAGTTTTATTTTATACTTTTGCAGTTTTGCAAAGCGTCGTTATATTTGTCCCACTTATAATTTAAAACATTGTTCTCATATTTAATTAAATTATGTCCGAGTCTATGAATAAAAAACTTTATTTTACATTTTAATCATTTCACATAGATGTATCTCTAGTTTACTTCATTTTAGTTTCGCATTGATATTATGTTTTTTTATTTTTGAGACACTTTAATAATAGTTGTAGTTAATACGAAATGTTATATAACATAGGTAATAAAAAAAATGGATTTAAATATATACTACCTACATCAGTAGTTTGTCACTACAGCCTACTATACCATTATGCTGATGATGTACTAACATCTGAGAAATTATTATAAATCATGGATAACATTCTGTTGTGAACCCGAAATCGAAAATAAGCATGTAACATGGACCATTTTAGAATAAAGCACGCCAATTGTTTTTCCTGTTTTGACCATGTACGGCGTTGCATCACTAAGGAATAACAATACATCATTATGGCGTATACCATCAAGCCAAAGAAGAAATATCGATTGATCAAAGACTTTTGTGATTGTTAAATAATTCGTCTTCTTGAGCACTTCTGAGTTTAAAAGATTAATTTTCCCCGGTTTGTCGACTTCCAATGTACCTACAATCGATATCATGTCATATCGAATATATATACAAAGGTTATATAATATTCATTAATATTTTTAAAAGAACTACATTAAAGAATTTATAAAATATACTTTTTAAAAATTTGTAATTTATATAAATACTTTTATATTTTTGAAGATTTATGTTTTAAGTTTTTAGATGGATTTTGAATTGTATATGTTTATTCTACTTATTTACTTATGATTTATTACCATTTGTTGGTTTTCATCTAATTGTGGTCACGAATGCCCTTGCTATACCACTGATAAGGAAAATATGAATGTGTAAGTTGCCATCAGTTATAAAAATTTAACCACTTTTCTATACGGTGATTATAATGTAATTATTAACATTCATATTGTTCGATTAGGTAATATATATTTTTACACACGAAACACTTTTAAAAATATAAATGAAATACCAATGAGAAAAATATTTAATGAATTAGTACATGATAGTATAAATGTATAAAAAAGTTTTAAAATTAAACCGAATAAAAAATAAAAAAGCTGCTGCAAATATGTAATATGTTACATACAGCCAAGTGTTTAGGAAATTCTTTATTCGTGTGATTACAGAATATGACGTGCCTAAATAACTTATTTATTTATTTATTTTCTAGCTTAAACCAGGCTAATAGTCTAGGGCCGATAAGCTTTAGCGAGCTTCTTATGTTCTTAAAAGTACTTGTACACAGAATAGTTTTTTATTGTAGAAAAAAGTAATACTACTAATCTTACTAAAGCTCTCTTACGTTTAGTTTAGGTATAGTACATAACACTTAGAGCATTTTAACCGATGCCTCTCTAGTCTCTAGCTAACCCACAAACTATGGGTAGATCAAATAATATTAAACAGTGTACACATAGATAAGACGTTCTATCTAGAGAAGTCTAGATGTATTCAATATACTTAATATAGCGAATAAACCATAAATAGAGCGCAAGCAAATATCAAAAATGTACTTGTATAATTATTTATGGTGAAGATGAGTTATATAAAATATAAACATTCGTTTATTAATAATAAACGCGTTTTTATTTAAAACAAAAAAAAATGTTTTGATCGACCTCCGTTTTCTTTACAATATATAAAAATTATATATAAGGGGGTCATCCCTCCATTGGTCTATACTATATTACAACAAAACCCCGATAATATATCCATGTTATACATTATTTTAAGTATTTTATTATAAGTCCGAAAAAGAACTTGAGTAAAATTACACGAAATACATTATTAAATTTAAAAAACCATTTTTTTTTTTTCATGACAACTATTTTTAAGGATTGCGTTTCATGTGAAAAATATTTCGCCTCTCCCCCCCTCCCCCCTTGGAATTTGTCAAGTACCACCAATGCATTGATCATTAATTTTGTAGGCATAACAATAGGGTTGGGTGTCAATGTCTAATTTTAGTTTTCTACAAGACGTGGTGGTGTGCATTTTTGAGTCTCCGAAATCGCTCGGGCAACGTATGCGAGTAATAATTCATACTCTCGTAACGCGTTGTCGCGGAGACTCTGGGGGTGGTTCTACCAAATGTTTGCGGCCCCGAGCACCCCCCCCCCCCCCCCCCGTGTGTGTGGGTGCGCAGCGAGCGCTATCGTTATCGTCGTCCCGCCGGGCCCCGGAAGGGGAAAAACCGAAGGATGACACCAATAGTCCGTACGTGCAGATGAACACACGTACAGTCATAGCGTTTAATATTATTCAACGTTCGTACGGTTTTTACTGCATCCTGTAACGTAGCCGCGCGCTGAACGAGAAATAATAATTATACGATAAAATTATAATAATAATAATATGATGACCTTTTCCCGTCCGACGTCGGTCGACCGGACCCCCGTCTACTCCCGTCCACCGCTGCCGCGTGTTTAGTGCGCGTGTGCGCCACCGCCGCCGCCGCCGCGAATACCGTTATCAGTAATCGTTCGACGTTCGCGCGCCGCCCGAGCCGCGCACCCGGTACCAGTTCACCATTCGAGTCCAGCAGCTTTCCATTCGCACCGCTCTCACGTCCGTCAGTCGTTTCTCTTCGGTTTTCCTCAGTGCGTCCAATCAAGTTCTTCTGCCGTTCGCCGACGACCACTGCGCTTCAGCCGAAAATCCGTCTTCGCACCATGGTGAGTACGTTCAACAGTTGTCTCCGACGATCACGTTCGCGGCCGGCGGTTCTGGGTTTTACCATTCCTCCCCCTCTCGTCCGGACACGGTAAACACCACGATTCGGTAAATCTGGTCTGGTCGACTGATACCCGGCTAGCTCGGTTCCCGTAGCTTTCAAACGATTCCTCTGGGTTTCGGTCATCCGCGGTCTTACCGATGTCGTGCAACTTGTTCGGAACGGTCACGACTAGAAGAGATTAGGAGGGTGGTGGAGGGAGGGCAGCGCGGCACGTAGACCTGACATGATTAGAGAGACCGCCAAGAGTTGTGTTCATGTTGTGTGTTTTTGCAGTCTTTCGAAGAAGCAGTCGACAAAGTGAAGAACTTGAACGAAACCCCCAGCGACAATGAATTGTTGGAACTATACGGGCTGTATAAGCAATCCACGGTTGGAGATGTAAACACAGGTAATGTACACTTATATTTATGTAAAATCTTGTGTCTGTGTGTGCGGTCGTATTGCAATGATTGTTGTTTGTTTGCAGCCAAACCAGGCTTTTTGGACTTCAAAGGAAAAGCCAAATGGGAAGCGTGGAACGGTAGAAAAGGCATGAGTAATGATGAAGCAAAAAACAAGTATGTTGAAATTGTCGACAAGCTCGTTGAAAAAATTGGCCTCAAAGCTTAAGTCTATTGACTCCTCTCTCAATGATCTTGTGCTACACGAACATTACTTAAGTTTACTTAATCTACTTAATAAAATAATACAAATCATGTATGTATTATGACGGCCAAACTTAACCAATTGATTGTATCCTTCAATGTGCTTTCAAATCGCACATTTAAATTATTTATTATATTAATTTACATCACAGTAAAATTATTTTAATTATCTATCAAAATGTATAATTTATTAGAATATTATTGTTTAGAAATCAAATGACTTTTTCAATGATCTATTGGCAAATTTATGTTAATACGTATCATTCTTATTGATAATTTTTTTATTAATATCTAGTTTATATCATTTTTTTATGTAAAAAATTGTGCCTTAAAATAAGACCTTTTTTTATGAACTATGCAAAAATGAAATTTTATTTTATATTTTAGTATGCACGCAATCATATTGTATTACATGATCAGCATTCAAAATAAAGTTTCCTGGTTGGTTTGTAATTGTACTGTTATTTGTAACATTTGTGGCATTGAGATTATGATCATCACTGCTGTATATTCAAATGTTGGAACTAAATTATTTGTAATGTATGGGGCCAGTAACTGAAAAACTAAATTTTAATTTTACAATTTATTCCTATATTTACATCACAGGAAAAATATATTAAATCAATATACTTAACATACTCTTTACTAAACTATTAATAACTCATTCAATTATTAAAGATGAAATTCAAAGATAATATCTGCTATTATAATTATTTAGTGTTGAGTTTGAATAATCAATACATTGTATTGTACATTTTATGTACTTTTATTGGTGTAAACTAATGTAGTGGCTCATTAATTTAATAAAATATATTAAATCATGTTTATACTTTTATAACCATTGTGGCCAATACTTCCTACTAAAATAAAAACAAATAAATTGTATTTTAATAATTAACAATTATAAAATCTACTTATGTATGTTTGAGAATTTTAAAAATGATTTATTTATTCTAATCAAAGTAGCTATCGTAATAATTTTGTAATGTAGAATATTCACAAAATCAAATTTGTTTATTATAACTATACTGATAATTAGTATTGATAAAAAATATAATTGTATACCATCAACAATCCTATACTACGCTGTTTGTATTTATTCTAAATGAAATTGTTTTATTTTGAGTTTTCTAGTAATGGCAATAATTTATTCATTAATAATAAATGGAAGGTCAATTTGGTACTTGAGAATAAAAAACAAAAATTAATTGTACACATACAGAATACAAATTGTTATACATGTCATATTCATATTTTATGTATTTTATTTTGTATTATTTTCAACATTTGGTTCTATGACAGTGTTCCAACATTTAACATTGAATCGCTGTTGTGTCCTTGTAATTGAATATCAAATGTTTATTATTGTAATAATAAAATTAAAAATTAAATATAAATGTTTACATTTTTCCATTATCATAATGCAAATAAATCAAAAATAAACTTATGAATTGTTACACATGGCTTTTTACAGAATTCTTTTAAAATAGTCCATATTCATATTTGAACAATAAAACATTTTGAGTTCCTTTTTTACCATTATTTAAATTAATCTATTAAACTATATTAAGTACTGTAAATGTTCAAGTTTATTCAGATAAAATTAACATAAGCAATCTTACTAAAAATATAAAAATACGTGCACAAAATTTAAATGTTTTAACAAAAATTTGTTGTCACTAGTATATTTTTTTAATTATATACAATATTTTTGTATATATATATACATAATATCTTGTATATATATACAATATCTTTGAATATGTATATTAGGTAAATAATAGACTTTTGTTAAAAATTAATCAAATTGCCTATATCGAACCCCTTAAAAATATGTGAATAACACACATGTTGTATCATGTCATGTTACTTATGTTTATAAATTATATCTTTGCAATATTTTTATTATTTTTTCAAAAGTATAATTAAAATTATAATTTATTAATATTCATTATATTTTAAACTAAAAATTTTAATTTTTTGCCTAGATATTTAATGCTATATAAAACAATTTAAAATATTTTTGTTGGATTAAAAATATAATATTAGTTCTTATTTTTAATAAGAATTTTATTCCACCATTTTCAATGTAATTAAGTAATAAAAAAAAAAACTATAGCATAGAAAATTAATAGTTATGCGGTATATATTGATATACACAATTATTGTCTTTTAAAGAGTTTAAATTAAAAACAAAAATTGTTTAATTTATTTCCATACAATTATGTTATATTTATTTGTTACTGTATTTTAAATGAATTAATTTTTTTTTTCATACCCAATACAATAAAGTAAATTCTTCATATGTCGCGTGTTATTTTGTCCCAGTAATATGAAATCGGGAATTACAAAAAAAAAACAACATTTTGTTGGTATTTAGTTACAGATTCATTAATATAGAAGAGTTATTTTATAACAAATATTATATGCATACAATTAATACCATTAAAATAAAATAAAAATCCAGAGAAAAAAAAATGTATTTAATTTTTAAAAAACAATAAGGCAATCTAAAGTACTCTTTATTGTTCATTTTCACTGACTGCTCATTTATGTAGTATTAACAGTGTCTATTTATATAATTAGGAATTTGCTTTGGGGGAGCAGTATTAAATTTTTTTCAATAAAAATCTGTAAATTTTATATCATTTTCAAGAAAATCTTTAACTCAATAAAAAAAACATCATGATATATAACATAGTTGAATTATTGTTAAATTATATATATATAAATCTTATATAAAGAAATCATAAGAATTTATAAGACCAAATCTTATTCCCAAGGTGTTTCGAAAAACATATGTACGTATGTATTTAGGCGACATATACAGTACAAAAACAAAACAGAATAATTCAAAGTATTAATAAAATAACAGTCAAATAAAGCTCTGAGGGATCTATCCTAATCTTTTTATTACGTCTGTGGAACAGACGTCGAATATGCTTATGGGGTTTTCCTTATTTCCTTGTTGAAGAAAAAATGTAAAACATTTATAATACTATTCATCACATAATTTATTCGACGAAAAATGTCCCAGCTATCCGGTTTCGTGGCCCAGATAAGCGATGAACATTAATTTACAACATTAATTTGTTTATTTCGGTATTTGAAGAATTGTCCTGACCTATTTATCTATTACATCTTCTATACATAATGGATAAATGCTGGTTATTAATATTTATTATCGAGCCGTGAATATTGAACATGACTTTAATTTTGAAAATCCAGGGACAATATTTTCTATTCCAACAATACCGTGGTTCATAAGCGTAAGTAAAAAGTTCAAGTTTTACGCAATTAACATCTGAATCTGTTCTAAAATATTGAATGAAATGGTGTGTAGTTAAGAGTTTTGATTTTTATCCTTTCAAACATTATTTACAGTCCATTTAATTATGTGCGTTTTTCGATTAAGTCTATTGATTGTCAGAATTAATATTCTTGCGGTTTTTCGGTCCACATAGCAAAATAAGACAGCGGTACTAGTTCAGTGATACATGACCCCGTTGAAAAGGTGCCTTCGCAAAGTCTTATATACCTTAGGAGGGACGTAAGCGATCTCCTCCAGATTACGTTAGTCTGTCTTTTGTATCCGAAAGGGTAAGACGTAGATGGTATGTATGGTCCTGGTTGACGCGAGACTTTTACTTGTGAATTTGGCAACGTAAGTTGGTGCAGTGAGTCTCCAATTAACCCACCCATGTTAAAGAACGTATTTGTGAAGTGAAGAGTCAATGATCTTGATAACATATTGATAGCGCCGTCAACTATTCATATGATGAAATCGGTATTACATTATATTTAATCATCGGAACTCATTGATGGAGAGCATTTTATTTTACTTCAACTAATGTGTCATTTTCGTATAGACTTAAACTTGAGTATTAAGCATTCGGTCTTGGTCTCAGTTATAATCTTCCCAATTAATTCTGAACAAACAATAAGTTAAGTTCGTACGCGCAGAGGTGTGTCTTGCCATTTAGGGGGGGGGGTTAATAATTTTAACTTAACAGGGGAATACAATAGTAAATATACATCCGTTATCGTATCCACGACCGTAATCGCTTGTATAATAAAATAACCTCGGTGGAAGTTCAGAAATGTAACTTCAATTTTATAAAAATTTTAAATATTTGTTAATATTTCTGGAGGTAGGGGGGGGGTTGTCTGATGACGGAGGTCATCGTCTAATATAAATAATACAACGCATGGAATGATAACATCGTAAAATCGGTATATCGATTCATCCGCTCCGAGAAGGCCTTTATTGTTTGTTGAGACTTGTTTGATCTGACGATTTAATCGAACAGTGGTACACATTCAACACACGAATTCCAATCCGATGGATGTGAATCGAATAAATATACGAGCCTTGATAGTGTTCCTTAACCAAACTAAACACATTAGTCTTTTACTGAAACGGTTGTCGTTATAAATAATAAAGCCAACGCGTGCGTTTCGACAACGTAGAAGGTATTTGAAATATAAAATTTATTAAAACAAGCCAAGTATAAATTTACGATAATATGCTGTTTATTGTTATTACCGACGGACGGTGGTGACTTGAAAATATTAAACGGGATACGATTGTTCTTCATGTCGAGTAAGATGATCAGTGAACGTTCGTACATAAAATAATGTTGATATTTTTTTCCGCGCAACGAGTCGCATTTGCAGACTTGGCCGTGGCTGGCAGTCGATTGCCGTTCATCGGTTCCATTGTCTAGGTTCTAGTGCAACGCAATACCGTATACCGTTGTGCGTCTGAAACATTAGCCATTAAACGATGAACGAGAAAAAAAAATAAATAAAACGATTGCGAACACCGTGTTTTTGCGAGACGATTGCTGCGCGCACGTACGAGGACGGAGACGCGATTATTATACACATCGATAGGATATTAATTTCACGTCGCTGGCCGACGATTATTACGTGCGTTTGTGCGGTTCGACCGGAGGAATTCGATTCGCGAAGCAGTCCGCTGCACGGGTACAGTGTTCGGACGGCACGCGGGCGGTTGCGAATTAGTGTTGACCGCGTCCGTGATGGCAATCCGTCAAAACGGATCGACTTTTGACGCGGAGAATTTGACGGATAGGAATATTAATGAGACGTCGCGCAGGACCGCCGCAATACCGGTTTTATTTATCGCATGGTAATGACCCGACCAACCTACGGGCACGACCTTGCCAAAAGGAGAACATTAAAAACGTATACATACTTGACGCGCGCGCGCGGTATTTTTTTTATATTTGCTCGCGATATTTGCATATGGCTATCGAGAGCGTGCTGTTACGCTACGCGGGCACGCGAAATAAAATGGAAACGGTGGACGCGCGCGTGTGAAAACCGCCGTTCGTAGGATTAACAATTGTTATGGACGCGTTCCGTTAAATGCGTACGACACGAGGTGAGGCTAAAAGTTCAGCCGCGAAGCGATCATCGCAACAGTC